GGCCAACAAAAAAAAAAAAAAAAAGACCAAAAAAATTACTTAATTAAAATTCAAATTAAAGGACCAGATCACATAAAAATTATTATTTTTTTGTTTGTTTTTTGTCATTCTCAACTCATTGTTACTCCTATTGACTGCTGCTATTTTTTCAGTGGAACACAAAGGTGACATTTTCATGCTGGACACTTGTTGGCTGCTTAAAGGGATAGTCCCCCCCCCAAAAAAAAAACAAAACAAAACAATAGAACAGAACAAAACAAAAAACATGCCAAAAGACTGAAATGTATGTTATTCACTGAGCTGACATGTCAGTGAGTGACATAGGGAACCAAATCAGTAAATGCATAAATTTGCTTGCTTAGGTTTTGTTTTTTAGTCATTTGTGGAACTTTACTGGTTTGTGTTTATATATAACAGGTTTGGAATAACACCAAATAATGGCAGAATTTCATTTTTGGGTGTACTATCCATTTATATTCAACAACCAAATCTGCCGGAAGAATTTTGTCAGCCTGATGAAAGACAAATTTGTTTGAAAAGAGCTGAATAGTGACAAAATCAAGACAACCTTTTCCAAAAACGGTGAGATGAACGTGCCTGGTGCTCAGCTCACTGTGGGAATGATACAATGTTTTGAACCCCAAGCTATGCACGGTGGCTGTTAAACTGATTTCAAGAGGGGGATAAACTGCAAAGCCATGGCATTGATTTGACTACTAATGATTGTAAAAAAAAAAAAAAGGCATCATAAGACAGTAAAGGAGAAAGGCATTTGAAGTTGCAGAAGAGAAATTTAGTCCAATGCTGCAGCCCTGGAGCACAGCAGTATCTTATTTGTAGGCTTAGTGAAGCAAGAGGCAAATAAGTAAATAAACATCCTGCAATACAAGATAAATATTAGATTTGGTATAATATAGATATATTATTTGGTTTGGTTTGAAAACTTTTTATTGACTAATGTTAGCTTTCTGAATCTTTTAAAAGCATTAAGATTGCATTTTACATTTGGTTTCCTGAATCCCCACCTCCAAGCCATTTTTATCACTATCTTGTCTTTATCCAGATCAGAATATTGTTTGGTATGTAGACCTAAACAACTAGATGTTAAAAGAATGACAGATGTAGTAGTATCTAGGTCTAGGTATCTGGAGACTTCCCTAGTTAATAACCAAATAATGCCCCAAGTGTTACAGTACGTGTTTGTTTGTTTACTCAGTTTTTGTTGTTGTTGTTGTTTTTTTACAGTACAGTAGATTGATTACAAGGTGACTGACATCATTGTTCTCCCTTCAGGTCCGGAGATACCAAATTATTTCCTGAAGAAATAATTAATTAATTAAATTAATTAAAGTTAATTTTAAAACAATGTTTTTGCAGTGCTTCTAAGGTTGGAATATAGAATAGAGGCAGTAATCCACATGAGATGTAATATAATTTGGCAACACATTTTTACCCATCTAGCTTTAGTCCCATCGAGATTCTGAATGAATTTTAGAGCCTTATCAAAATGCATAAAACTACTCCCTTTACCGATTTCTCGACCCCATTCTTAATTACTACAAGATACTATATACTTAATGAACGTAATTGTTTGCTACCCTGTATGGTCCAGCCTTCAAATGCTTTTGTTTTGATGAAGACATAAACATAATAAAAAATATGAATAATAACCCTTAATAATTTTCACAGCCCAACTAACAACATTAATGATTAAGGGGGAAAAAAACCCCTAAATTCTGTGCACATGGCATAATTGTCTGAAGATTTATAAGTATTGACAATAATGTGAGAATCAGGAAGATCTAAATTAACAGTCCAGATATGTTAGAACACACATTTACACTGATTAACTGGACAAACCAAAAAAATCACTATATTCCAACAACCTGGTTTTTCTGACAGCAAAAAGTTTTAGTAACACATTTGTTTCTAAATATATTCACAGGCTATTGAAAATGTGGGGAAAAAACAGTGCAAGAGAGAATCAACCTTTATATCTCTGAATAAGTTGTCTACACACAACCAATAGCAAATGGCAAACCTTTTAATCCCATATAATCCTCCTAGAACATTATGATCAGAGAATCAAAAATTACTTGTAGTGCCTAGAACAAATCGCCTATATAAAGGCGATCGAGGCAAGTTGGAGCTAAACTCTGCAGGACACCGGCCCTCCAGGACCGAGTTTGGACAGCCCTGGCCTATATAAAGGCGATCGGGCCTTCGCTGTGATAGGGCCGAGACTTTGGAATGAGTTGCCCCTGCCGATCAGGTCTGCCAAATCACTGTCAATTTTTAAGAAACTGTTGAAAGCACATCTAATGTTGGTAGCATACAATGATTGATGTGGTGTTTTATATGTCGATGTGGTGTTTTATGTTGTCGATGTTTGTTTCCATTCTTGTACTTTTTATGTAAAGCACTTTGGTTCAACCTCGGTTGTGTTTTAAATGGTGCTATATAAATAAACGAACAAGAACAAGAACAAGAACAATAGAACCGGCTCACTTGCCATTGAGGATGACACAAATCAAGCCACATTCTACCAACAGCCCAGATCTGAAACCCCTTTGAAAAATATTATCGCAAGAGCCTCATCAGCCTCCCAGACATCCAGGAACCTTTGACTAAGATCTTTTCAGCTCTAATTTAACTGCTGTTTCTTGGCTCCCGTCGCTTGTCTGCATTAGCGGGTGTACCTGGGAGTTTTTCATGTGGAGCGTTCAGCCTACGCTGATGAAGCAGAGACTGTCTTATGTGAATGAATGGCAGTGGATTGGCTGGTAATGAGGGGCAGAGCGGCGGGGTGACCGCTCCTTGGGACTTGCTCTCATGGGTTTTGTGCTAATAGAGGCCAGGACTGGTCAGCCTTGTGCTCGGCAATGTGACTCTTCAGGTGGGGTGGTTGAAATCATTTTCACACCACATGCCTATCACGCTGGGCTCTTAATTGCTGGAGATGGGGGCAAGATAGATCCGGAATACATTATGGTGCGCCCACAGAGCATGATTAATGGGCTGGTGGGATTTTTCACAAACCACTGGCTGAACTCAAGCGGAGCTTGTGTGGTGGTGTTCATGAGGTTGATGTGTGTGGGCCGCAGAAACTCCACTGAATTCAATGAAAAGATTCACTTTAAACAGTTATAGGGCCTTTGCACTCTGTACCCTATACACAATCACTGCATAAAGAGTAAATAAGAATAATTAAATAAAAATATAGGACTCTATCTTGCCCCTAAAATATGCTGGAAAATCAAATAAAGTCATTTTTAAAATTATCATTAAATAAATACATATATATTTAATAAATACATAAAATTATATATAATTAAAAAGTCTTAGGTTACTAATAGTAAAGAAATTGTCACTTATGTCAAACCTTTCTTCTGTGAAATACAAAAGATAATATATTGAAAAAAGTCCCAAACTCCCCTCATTATAACACATATGAAAGAAACTGCTGCTCGGCAATTGGAGATGACTCCTCTGTATTAGACACATCCCTGCTGTGAGCTATTGCGTAACGTAGTGGGCACAAAATTGACCATGGCCAAAAAAAAAAAAACTTAGGGACATCTCTCCACTGTAAATGATGCCTATTTATAGTATAAACAGCATGTGTTTGTGCATACAATTGCCTTAGACTCACCGATGGAGCTGGTTTGCCTCCTTTGGCAATGCAGACCAGAGTAAGGTTCTGGGCCTGGTAGCGGCTGAATGGTGCTGGCGTGTTCTCTGCCACAACTGAGATGTTGTTGGGTGGAGCTGTGGAATAGAAAAGGACATCTATAAGACATTCTGGGACACTTCTACCATGTTCATCAATCTGAGCAGCATTTCAAAGATGCATTTTCTTCAAAATGCATAGTTAGTCCCTATTAAGCGTTTGAATGCTAAATCTCCATACCAGCTTTAACACTCTTTGGTCTTTGAAACAGATTCTTAAATCTTGTGTATATCCAATGCACTTTCAAGTGGAGACGTAGTCGTAGTGGTGCATGGCTGGGGGTTTTGGAGCATGTCAGAGTAGCTTTATTCTGCCAATGAGAGCTCGACTTCTCATATAGGCCAGTTCAGAGTAAAGAAGCAGCATTATACAGAGAAGTCTGGAAGATGAGAAGATCGTGGTAGGGCCACAGGGAATTTCAGCACTGGATTTCTTGGTCTGCAAAGACTCTGACCCCTCGCAGCGAAATGAGATACAACCACCTACGATGCAGAACCGCAAATGTGCGGTCCTGGGGGTGCTGTTATAGTGCACGGCATTCCAGCAGCTATCTGAAACATAAAAAGCACCAGTCATAAAGGCTGTATGTGTGAAACCGAAGTTGTTTAAGACGATGTGGGACGTTTTATGCATATAATATCCACCAACTCCTGCCAAGCTCCACTGGGGAGCCATACGAGCGTGTCATGACATCGGAAAAGCAGAAGCGTATATCTTGATCGTCTGTGGGGATCCATGGGGAAGATGAAGACGGACTTCCTGGTACTTAATGTAGAAAGGATATGATGCTGGAAGGCTTGAAAACAAAGCCCTTCCCGGTTCTCCTTTTGAATAGCCTTTATTTAAGCCTACCTGTCAGCTGGAATGAGCTTACTTTATCAGCTGTTCAGGGATGAAAAGGGGCGTGGGGGTTTATCACATCTGCATTTTTTACTAGCACCGAGCGATTTATGATCCTCTGTCAACACATCAGTGAGGGTGTGCATTGACTATTCAGGCAGCTGCATTATCACATAAAACACTTCCTGCAAATTCCCTTTCACACCCTGCTGAGACAATTGGATGTTGCTTCTGCTTAGTTTGAAGCTGTCTGGTGCTTTTTGCATGTTGAAAGGATGACAAAAGGCATGTGATATCAGCAAAGGATTAGAGGGTTAGTTCACCCAAAAATGAAAATTGTGTCTTTTATTCACCTTTATGTCCTTCCGAACACATATGACTTACTTTCTTCCGTGGAACACAAAAGAAAGAAAGGTCTCTTTTTTTCCAAGCAATTAGCATTCAAGCTTCAAAAAGGATTAAAGTGAAAAATTAAAGTGGTCTACATGACTTGTATTTCAGTTGTTTTGAAGATGTATAATAGCTTTGAGAGACAAAAAGAGAATTTTGTTGTTATTAACTGATAATTCTCCCTTCCAGTAAGCTGCAAACCACTGGAATCAGATCAGTGAGTCAGTGAGTTGAACTGGATTATCACTACTTTGAATTTGTAAATCTGCAAGAGATAATGATTAAACTAATAATGATAATTTTTTTTCGTACGTTTCTCACAAAAAAAAAGTCATACATGTTTCAAAGTGTTTTAATTTTTGAGTGAACTATTCCTTTAAAAAAGAGCCCTTCAGGACATCTGCTGTGAATCACTTGATCAATAACGCTTGCATACTAAGCAGGCAGAGGAAGAAAAAATATGGCGTATCAGGAGACCAAGGGTAATAACGTTTTTTTTCCAAGTGTCACTTTAAGTCTAAATCCATGTGCTACTCTCCAATAAATGTGCAATTGAAATTAATTGATTAAAACAAAAGGGATGGAGGAATGTGTCAAGGTTTGAGAGCTTTTGTTTCCTCAGCACCTAATTGCTTATTGATGGCAGATGTATGGAAGGAAATTAACCTTAGCGAACACTATTAGCTCTCTGGGAAACTGAGACTTGTCCTAAATTGGAGAATGATATGCTGTCACTTGGTATTGCGGATGGGACTATAATACGCACCTGCACGGACAACCGAGATGCAGAACGTTGCCCCTGAACTGATAATGTCCCAAAGCCATAAAACAGAATGTTAAATGTTCTGTTTGTTCAAAGCTCACAGTGGTCTTGATGGATGAGGCCCCATGGTTTCTATTTACAGCAGTGGCCAGTCAAAGCTAATTAACCATGTGCTCTCACAACTGCTTAACAAAATGAGCCAAGCATACCAATACAAACCAATGCCAGTCTCTAAAATCTAGTTCCCATATCTTCTGAATTAGCCAGACTAGATTTATACTTAAGCAATTACTAAATTCTACCTCACAATCAAACACTCAATTAATCACAGATTTGACTCCATAAGGATAGTGAGGTTGATTATAAAATGATTACAGATGTGCTTAACCTACTGTGCAAAATAATTCTGATAAATTCTCTCCTGCTGTGATGGCTGATCTCATTTCAGTTCATTTTGACATATGCCCACGTTTCCCTCTATTAGTGTTTATAATTATTTTGGTAATTCATAATGTTAGTGTAACGAAGACACATTCAAGAACCCTTTGATGGAAAGATAAAGTTAGTACACGATTAAAGAAGTTTTAGAATTGCGAGTGAGTGCTTTTATACAACAGTTCAACAAGTTAATAAGTACTAATTTACAGTTTAGACACAATATTGCCAGTTACTTCTCTGTTTTTGTTCCACGTATGAAAACAGTTCCAAAACGAAAATGTTTGGAACTGAATCAATCTGAAACTGAATCAGTTCCTGAATCTATTTTTGAAGAAATGATTCAATGACTCACTCATAAAGACAAGTCACTTGTTTTGTTCCTGAATGAATCAGTGCATTTGAACAAATCAGTTGAACAAACTGATTCATTGGCTCGCTCCTAAAAACAATGGCTGAATTCAGAATAGCATACTAGAATATTAGTCTTACTATTTCTGTCATTTAAATATGTATTTTAAATTCTTTTAAAATGCATTTTAAATTCATCTAGTCACTTATTTTGTTCGGGAATGAAATAGGTATTTTTTTTTTTTTTTTTTTTGCTATTGGTTAAATTATTGACTCTCACTATTTTGAATGAACCAGCTGAAAGCATGTTTCGATGACGCACTCATAAGCCATTTGCCACAATCTATAGGCATAACACTGTAACTTGCCGAAAGAGTCACTGGAAAAACCCCATTAATAGCCTATATACTTTATATTACTTTTTTATATTACATATTTATCACTGAACATTAAACTAAAAGAAAGTATTTTAACATCAATATTCCATAATTACAGACACAATACTTTTATTCCAGTAATGAGCTTTACATTTTTCAACGTGGGGGAAGGTACTACATATATATGTGTGTGATATTATCAATAAATAATACTATGACACATATACAATAAACTAGAAAGGCAGTCTGGGGTTTTATCATGAGACTCATCTTAACTGCACTGTTTTGCATTGGAGTTCATAAGATAAATCAAAGCTGTTGGATGTTGTCAGTAGGGAAATCTAAAAAGCCAAGACATTGGAATAATCCTTGATGGAATGTTTGAAACGATTAAATGCTATGGCTGCCATGCTTGGCACACAACAATACCTTGTTTAATCCTTTAACGGATTAGGAATGTTGCTCGATGCGATGGAATTACAGCTTTTTCACACTCAATTTGATTACAGTATCAAGGTTCTTGAGTGATTTTAATTTTTATTTTGTGCACCGAGGGAGAAAACACATATGCCATTTTGTCACACAAAGCTCGTCTCCCATCGGTGAATGTTCTGTCTTACTTTGTCAAGTTTCAACTTCATACTCAAAGAAAAAGCTGAAAAAGCTGTTGGGGGGAAAAAGCTGGCTCGTACTCGCTCAGTCTCAGGATTAGTTGTGCGAACACAGGGATTTGGTGCTCTCACACCTCAGCCTGTTGGGCCTTCGGATCAACTGGGAAAAGAGCAAACTCTCCCCGACGCAGAGGATCTCTTTTCTCGGTATGGAGTTGGACTCGGTCGAACAGACAGCACGCCTCACGCAGGAACGTGCTCAGTCGGTGTTGAACTGCTTGAATACATTCAAGAGCAGGGTGGTGGTCCCACTGAAACAATTTCAGAGGCTCCTGGGGCATATGGCAGCTACGGTGGCAGTCACGCCACTGGGGCTGCTTCATATGAGACCGCTTCAGCACTGGCTCCATGCCCGAGTCCCAAGATGGGCGTGGCAACGCGGCACTCACCGGGTCCAAGTGACACCGGCCTGCCACCAAACCTTCACCCCGTGGTCAGAC